GTGCACGCGTGTGCATGTATACATGCTTGTGTGTGCACATGTGTGTGCAGATGCATGTGTGCAGAGGCTAGGTGTTGGCATCAGGTCTCTTCCTCCGTCATTCTTCACTTTATTTTTTGAGGCAGTGTTCACAGAATCTGGAGCTCTCGGAGTCAGGTCGCCTCCAGGAACCCACCAGTCTCCTCAGTGCTGGGATAACAGTCTCATCTCGCTGTGCTTGGCGGACTCCATCTCACCAGCCCCTCCCATTTGTTTTCATTTGGGGCTTTGGTTAAACTAGAGTGTGGAGTTTGTGGGAAGCCCCCAGTTACGAAGCGTAGTCTCCTATCACTGCATCAAGGATACATGCATCAGCATGACTCACCGAGCTGGTGGATGGCCTGGATCACCTGGATCACCTGGATCACCTGGCCTCGTTGGTGAGCCAGGATTCTCTGTGGTTAGATACTCCCCACTCCCTTTCCATTCTGCATTCCTTAGAAGCAAAATATGCTTAGGGGAGGTGCGGGGAGGAGGTAAGCTCTACTTCCTGAGGAGAGGCTAGGTACATATACCATCTGGATTCTTCTGTAAGAGACAGCCTAGTGATGCTTTTGATGTGACAGAGAAAGTTCCTCTAGGACTTACTAGCAGGCCAGTGGGGCTGTGTGCACAAATTTTTGTGGGCAGACCCCATATAGAGTGTCTCATGGAGCCATACATGGAGGAGTTCTGGCTTCTAGGTCTTAGGAGCAGTTTTGACATGCAGAGTGCGGGACATACACATGTAAAAATTCAACTGCTGGGTAAATCATTGAGTCCTTCAAAACCAGTTAGCAGCCATGCATGAATACATAACACTCTGCTGAGCACCAAAGGCACAGAGGATAGAGAAGACTGGATCAGACCATGAGCATTCAGGGCAGGAGTGCGTATGTATGTATCACCAGAGACTGCACACCCGCTCTCAGTCCCGGGCCAGGAGGAAAGGAAGCAGCAAAGAGTACTTACTGAGCAGTAGTGGGAAGTCCGGGTGCTGCCAGGGGAGCTGATTTAGGGGAAGTCAGTGAGGGTCTCTCTGTCGATCTGAAGAATGAACAGGAATAATCAAATGTGTGGCTTGGCAAGGGCAGTCCAGGGGAACAGCACTCCAAACAAGGAACTGCATGTGTCCAAAACAAACCAGTATCAAGGCAGACATCTGGAGGAACTGAGAGAGGTATATATAGAAAGACAGCGTTCCTGGAAAAATCACATGCCAATGTAGTCATAGGAAATAGTTCTGCTTCCTTAAAATGAGTTTTTTTCTAGAGAATCTAGCATATGAAACTCAATAATATTTGAAAATATATTTCTACTTTAATTTGTGGGCAAATGTGAAGGACGAGCATTTTAGAAATTGTGCCCTGAGACTGGACATTTCACTAGGAAGGAGGTAGACGATCTCAGAGGGGCTTTTAGGCCATGCTGAAGTGGTCCCAGTTCCGTCTCACCACAAGGCTGGATGGTGCCTGCTGGGGCTCACAGAGGAGGCCACTCAAGTCTTTGCTCCCCCGTGAAGGCCACCGTCTTACTCGGGTTTCTTCTCGTCCCCATGGCTGGCTGATGCAGAGTTCTGGGGCTCCACTTTGGACAACTTGGAATTACCATCCCGGCTTCGGGGCTCCTGATAGGCATGAGCTGCAGTTTCTGTTACAGCTGCATCACATTCCTGCTTGCCCTCATCCCAGCACCTCTCATCCCAGCACAGCCTCTCTCCCAGCCTTCCAGGCATTGTTCCTGGGAGCACTCCCCAAGGAAGCAACCTTCGGGATGAGCTCTCTCTCTCCAACACTATTTCCCTAAAGCTTGGCCCTCAGCTGACTAAGCGATATTCCCTTCCTAGGGCTGCTGTAAGACAAGATTGCAAATGGGTGACTTAAAGCAATGAGGATTGTTCTCCCACAGTTCTGGAAGCCAGAAGCTCCAAATCAAGGTGTCACCAGTCCCCCACATCTCCCCCAACCCCCTGCCCTGCCAGAGGCTCTCCCAGCTCCTGGTGGTTCCAGGCTTTCTGTGGTCTCTTGGCAGGTGTCACTCCAACCTGTACTCGATCTTCCCATGGCCTCCTCTGTGCCAAAATTAAAGATGCAGCTTTAATTTTGAAAATGGTTGCTGTTGTTATTGTTATTACTATTGTGTTGGGGGTGGTGGGTATGTACATTCCACAGCACGTATGTGGAGGTCAGAGAGCAACATTGTGGACTCGGTTCTCTCCTTCACCTTTATGTGGGGGGCTTGAACTCAGGTCAGGTTTGCAAGATAAATGCTTTGCACACAGAGCCTTCCCACTAACCCTCAGATGGAGCTTTCAAGGGACCACTATTCAACTCAGTACCCACCAAAATATTAATATTAAAGTGATTCTATTCCAGTGTGGCGATAGATGGGCCTTATAGATAACTTAAAATTTCTTCTTCGTATTTTTTTAAAAATTATGCAGGAAATATGCATTCCTTTTGTAATAGTTTTTAAGTTGGTGTCTTGACCCTGAGTGTGCAGTCTCAATGAGAATGTCGTGCTCTGTGAGAGGACAAGAGATGATGGCCACAGGCAGGATGAAGGGCCCAACCACCACACCATTAGCAAATCTCATATCCTGAATACAATGCAACTTCCGGCGTGCTACTGGACTTAAAGTACGGTGAATGTCTGAGTTCTCTCCCCAACTTTTGTCCTCCAAATCCAGCACAGGGCAGAACAGCAAGCTGTCAAATGCAGAAATGAACCCGAGGAAGAGTCAACCTGGAAGAATAAGCCAAGGGCTAGGGACAAGGTGGGGCTGCCACATGACACCCAAGGCCTGTGACTCATCCTGTATGAGCAGAAGCATCTATGCAGACAGAAGCATGAGATTTTTTATGGACATAGGATTCCTACACATGAAGATCAAGCCTATATGAGCTCACCATTAGGTATCAGCAAATAAGTAAGGAAACAAAGGAACATGTACAAGTCAACAGAAGAGGTAAACAGACTTAAATTTACCTGGAAAGTAAGAGTTTTACAAGACTGTTGGCTGCAAAATCAATACATAAAAATCATAGTCCTGTTGTACCATCTCTGGTTAGAAGTTCAATGGCTTCATTTAAACAAAAACGTCTTTAAAAAAAAGATAACATTTGCAAAACAACAAAAGTAGTGAATGTTGTAGGACTTATGACAACATTAAGGATATAATTCACCATTACTTTCTGCACGTTAAGGAGAGAAAATACTGCCCGTTAGAATTCCAAGAAGCTATCAGGCCTAAGGCAAGCCTGAAAGATAGGTCTGAGAAAAAGAACTATGTAGAGAAAAGTATAACTTTAATGAAAAGTATTTAATGATGTAAAAAGTTGAGACATGATCCATTTATGGATTGTAGCAAGAATCTTAAAAGTTCTTATTAATAAAATCAAACCGGAGGCCAGTTATTGGGGTCAATGCTGGTAGATCAGAGAGACAGAACAAGCCACAGCTATCTCACCTTGCCAATTCCTCAGCTGGTCCTGTTTCCTCAGACTGGAAGCTTCTGTGTCTTCATCCCAATGGCTCTCAGCTGAACTGTGCTGCTCGAAAGCCTGAAGCTTAACCAGCCACATGCTTAACCAGCCAAATGCTTAACCAGCCAAAATGCTGCTAGTTTCTGGTCCTCACGCCTTATATACCTTTCTGCTTTCTACCATCACTCTCTGGGATTAAAGGCTGGCTTTCTGGGATTAAAGGCGTGTGTCACCATGTTTGGCTGTTTCCAATGTGGCCTTGAACTCACAGAGATGCAGAGGGATTTCTCTCTCTGGAATGCTAGGATTAAAGGAGTGTGCTATCACTGCCTAACTAGTGGCTTTTCTGTTCTCTGACCCCAGATAAGTTTATTAGAGTACACGATATTTTGGGGAACACAATACCACCACAATGGACTCAATATTATTTCTCTTTCAACTGTACAGGACATTTTGGTAGATTTCAGTACGATACAGTCAATGCAATTCCCACTACTGCTGTGGATATCGCGCTGTATAAATAAAGCACTGGTTGGCCAGTAGCCAGGCAGGAAGTATAGGCGGGACTAACAGAGAGGAGAATTGAGGGAACAGGAAGGCAGAGGGGAAGACCTTTGAGCCACTGCCATGACAAGCAAGATGTAAGGTACCAGTAAGCCACGAGCCATGTAGCAACTTATTAATAGAAATAGGTTAATTTAAGATAGAAGAAGTAGATAACAAGAAGCCTGCCACGGCCATACAGTTTATAATAATATAAGCGTCTGTGTGTTTATTTTATAAATGGGCTGTCGGACTGCCAGGGCTTGGCGGGTCCTGGAGAGAAAACTCTAGCTACACACTACAATCCCAACAAAGGTTTTGAGATAATTGACAAAGTAGTTTTAAAGTTTTGATGGAATATAAATGATTAATATAAGTGATAGAGCCAAGAACCATTGAAGAAGATGGAAGACAGCATCCTCCTATCAGGTATTGCCAATTTATCATAAAGAGACAAAGACAAAAATGTTCTTGTGTGTGGATAGAAAAGTTGACCAATGGACAGACTAGAGAATCCAGCATCAGAATGACTTATTCATGGAAGATTGATATAGGCCAGGCACAGAGTGGTGCATCTCTGAGAAAGAGAAGGGTTGACAAATCAATAGGGAAGAAACAGGACCCTTAGTCCATACCTAAGTGCTAGCTCTTATGGAGCACAGACTTAAATATGAATGAAAAGCTGAAACGTTTAGGGAAAAGACTTAAGGGTGTGTTTATAGTGCTAATAAAAATACACTATAAAAATTACTATACCATATATAACAGTTAGTAATGTCAACTTGGCAGGATTTAGAATTACCAAAGAGTCAAACTTCTGGACTTTGGAGGAGATATTTCATTCCACTTTTGCCATCTTCTCTGACACCTTTCCCTCCCGAGTCCATCCTAGAGAAGGGGCTCACATCTTTTTTTTTTTAATCATTGAATAAAAACTTTATTAAATCCCAGAGATACACATGAGTTAATGTTCATATAAACAGAAAACACAAAATCTCCATAGCACACGAACCACATGTTAAGGATGAGTGGGGTCCCAGGTGGAGCGCCTCTCAGATGCTCAGCCCACTTCTATGGTCTGGGTATCCTTCACAGATCCCACATGCAAACAGGGGCCTCAGTGTTCCTGTAGGGAGCTGCAAGTGCTGCCTCCCTCCTCACAGTTGGCCCCTCTCTGTCAACTAGCCCAGCGGCTGCCGCTGTCCTCTTGGCTCCCTTCTCCTCCGTCTCATCCCAGGAGGGTCTCAGGGGCATCCCAGGTTCCTCCTCTCCTTTGGCACATTCTTGGTCATCCTGTGTCTCCTGTTCTGCAGTGACCCACTCCTTAGGGCTTTCTCCATGATGGACCGGTGTGGGTCCATCACCCCGGGAAGTCTGCCTGGGAGTGTCTGTGTCCTCTTCGGAACCTTCGGGGTGCACTGTGCTCCCATCATGAAGTCCTGCCTCCTGAAGACAAATATTGAGCCAGATGTTGACATGCTGGCCCCAGGCCCCTGGGGACTCCACCTCCCACAAACACCCTCTCTCGCCTGGATGGGCCAACAGGAACTGCATGAGGACTTTGTACATGGCAGGAGAAATCGGGCAACTGATACCCAGGCCTTCAACCGCTCGAAAGGTGTCACAGAAGTCCCTCAGCATGGCTGTCCCCAGGCCTTGGCATTGGTTCTTCCTCCATACAAACACGGTATCGAAGATAGGCAGCAGGTAGCATGCACTGGTGCCGGTACCACAGAGGCTGCCTTTCATTTTGATTGAATAAAATCCAACTGCCGCTCCATCCCTCCACAGAATCTTAGCTTGCTCCTTCAGAGGATGAGGTAAGAAAAACATGTCATTGTCATCCAGATCTCTCTCCAGTCTTCCAAAAACGATGGTGTTGAGAACATAAAGGACAATCCTTTCCCCGAAGGACTGAACCTTCATGAGCCCTTCCCTGGCGGGATCAGAAGTTCTTAGGACGTCTTCGACAGACCACCAGGACTCCTTTAGGTAGACAGCCACAACTGTCTTTGTGTCCTGGGGATTAACCAAAACCAGTATTTTATGTCCAGGTCCGTCACGGTACATAGTGCAATAATGAAGGAACGGAGTTTCAAGTCTGACCGAAAGGACACTGTTAGCAGAGGTCAACTTAGCAGGATTCAGGGAATACAGAAATGGAAGCCTTCGTCACCTTCCACGAGCAAGCCTTCCCATCCCAAGATCACCTGCTCCCCGGTGGCAAGGGAGAAAACCTCGGCTGATCCTCCTTCCCTGAGCAACTCATAGTAAACCTGTGCTGCTGCATGATGGCCCTCGGGGTCATCCTCCAGGATATCCACGGGGTAAGCCTCTAGCTCTCCCGAAAACAGGAGAAAAACAACTCAACCGCAGCAGCGTTTAGTGCAGGTTGTAAAAGCCAGTGGCTTCCGGCGCTGCCACCGGCTTCCGATAAAATGCCGAGGTGCCCCTGCATGATATTACTTTACTGAGCTGTAGAGAAGGTGGCCTGTGTGCGATGAGGGGCTCACATCTTAACTCCATCTGAAGTACCTTTCAGAAGAGAGTTCTCTGGCACCCAGGCCAGGGGGTAGGAGGGAAGCCAGGCCACTGTAGGCGCGGCCTCTCAGCAGCCGCAGAATGTAGGCACATTGACGATGACCTTCCAGAACTAGAAAGAATTCAAAACGGCTTTTCTGAGCTCTGCAGGTGCTCACCTTGCTCAAGGCGAGTTATCGTTGCAGAATATGTGATGGAATTGTGAAACCCCAAGACTGTATCAATAAAAAAAAACCCCTTGGATCAGGGGGTGGGGCCAGTGACCGGTGGACAGGAATTAACCATAGAGAGTATGGAAGAGCCAGGAATATGGATAGAGAGATGTGCAGGGAGGGGTTGGGAGAGACTTAGAGATTCAGTCTTTTCTGGTCTGAGATGAGTGGAGAAACACTTTCTTGCTGGATCTCCAGCCAAAAAAAGAAGGTCAGCTGGTTGTTTGGCTTTTCTGATCTAGCAGGTTTTCAGCCCGTCATCTGACTCCTGAGTCTTTATTGGTAAGTAGAAGAACTTAGTTAAAAAACAATATTAGGCACCCCACATTGGGCGCCAAATGTAGTCAGACTTTCTTTGGGCTGCCAGCTCCCAAATAATGACATGGAGACTTGTTATTAATTAAGAAAGCTTGGCCTTAGCTTAAGGTTGTTTGCAACTAGCTCTTACAACTTAAATTAACCCGTTTATTTTAATTCACATTCTGCCACACGGCTTGTTACCTTTCCTCCACACTGGGCATCCTACTCTCTCTGCATCTCGCTGGTGAATTCCTTGTGGCAGATTCTTCCCTGAAGTTCCTCTTTCTTCGTGTAAGTCTCCCCCATCCTTTCCTGCCTAGCTATTGGCTGTTCAGCTCTTTATTAAACTAATCAGAAGGTGCCTTGGCAGAGACACATCTAGACAGTGTACAAAAAGGTTACAACAGGTGGTACTCTGCCTCAGTCCAGCAAGGGAGGTGCTCTTGTATGCAGGTTTTCCTAAGATAATATTGCCAAGCAGGCCCAGTTCTGGAAGATTGCCATAGGCTGGCAATGGAAAGCCCCAGGAAGCCCACTCATGATGAATGTGACTGTTATCTTTATAAATGTCCCCAGCCTAGGATACACACATGGAGTTCTATCCACCAGAAGGCAGCTTCCTGTCTGGAGAGGACTCAGTTCCCCTCTGTGGCCTCTCCTCTCTTTTCTCTTCTTCCCAAGTAGTAGATACAGCACAATGAACAACTTGCCAGATCTTATTGATCACTTTATTGCAACTAACCTGTCCATCCAAGTTCTGCTGCCCTTGACATGCATCCATTCCTTACAGGTCTCCAGGGACAAGGTATTGCCATGGAGTCTCCAGAAGGATGTGGCTGATTGGTCTTTCTTCGATCCTAGATGCAATGACTCCTTCCAACTAGAGAGCACACAAGACAGGGAAATGAGAACAGGGAAGCCCTGCTACTAAGAAGTGCACCAGCCAATTCCAGGCCACGGCAGCAGGCCCTGCCTTCCAATCCCCCCTGCCTAAAACTCCTAGCCTCCCTCACTGGCCACCACAGTCTGTTTAGTCTCTCTCCTAGAGCACACCCAAGATTCTGTCTATGATCTAAGTTCATGTCTCATGGACATCTAGTCCACAGGAACAGCTTCCCAAGGGTGATTGTTCTTCTGGCTACTGAGGCCATGAAAGATGTTTTGGGTCTCTCTCTCTCTCTCTCTCTCTCTCTCTCTCTCTCTCTCTCTCTCTCTCTGTGTGTGTGTGTGTGTGTGTGTGTGTGTAGGGGGAAATCAAACAACAACCAAGCTAAAAGTCAGGATCCATCTTTAAGAAACCATCCCCAGAGAGCTGGCCCATGACCCTGGTTAAGGGAGTAATAGAAGGGCTTCTAAAGCCTTAAAAGAGAAACGGCCCCCAGTTACAGCCAGCCACAAGAGTGTTTGCGTCCGTGTCCACTACTGGTGGGAAGGGAGGCAGGACCATTCCCATGCTGCTCCCGTGAATGCAAGGTATACACTTCCAGAAGGCTTTTCTCTAAAAGAAGGCCTGTCACCAGCCAGGTGTCTGCTTGCCTCCAAGCCAACAAGGCAGCTGCCAGGGGATAAGGGGGTGTGTTTCCCTAACTTAAGCTCTTGCTAGGTCACTTTCCTGGCCAAGGTCTGTACTCCTGCTAAGAGCACTGATTTTCCAGAAACACCTTGTCCCTGGGGCCAGGTTGGTGTTGAGGGAGCGATGTGTTTTTATTCTCGGCACACGTCTGGGAATATCCCTGGAATGAGGCTCTGTTTTTTTGCCTTCAGGCATTCTGAAGTCTTGCAGGGGAGTTCAGAGATCTGCCGGAGCCTCTGCTCATGGCCACTGTTGTATTCTTCAGGCAGTGACCTCGACTGACATCATCCTGACCCCTCCATCTATTTGAATCTCCCATTCTTCTGTCTGGGTAAAGGCTTTTACTCTCAGAAGTCTAATCTCCCCTCAACCCCCCAGCGCCCAGCAAAGAGGAAGGGGCCGATTTGCTAGATTGGGGTCTGCACCCCTCACTGGCAATCAAAGCACAGACATGCTCCTCGAGTGAATTCCTGCCCTGTGCTTCAACCCTAGAACACAAGCTCTTCTGTTCTGTTACTGCCCTCGGGCCGCGGGCCCAAGACTTCGGAGAGGGGCCTTATGCTATAGAAAGGAATAAGTCACCCTTCCATGGGCCAGCACTTGGTGTGAAAGCAAGCTCGTTTCACTGTTATGCTGGCCATGCGACTCCCCAGAAACAAAAATAACACCTCTAAAGAGTGCTAGGGTTCCGTAGCGGCTGCCTGGGGCTAGGGGTTTGTGAGGGTGACAGAGCCCAAGACGCGGGCCGTATTATCCTCAAGGCGCCCCTCGGACCCCCGTGGGTCAGTGTCAGCTGCCTAATTTCTGCACTTAAAAAGCACATAATTATGGTATTGTTCGACTGCCAAGAATCCTGGGTTAATCTCAGTTTTATTTTGACGGCTACCTAAAATAGCTTGTCCCCGAGGACAGCAGCGGAAAGCCGGGAAGCCCAAACTACAAGAGCAGACCTGCCTGAGATCCAGGCAACCCCCCACTGGGGGGCATGGAACCAGATCCCTCCCCCCCCCCCCTCTCGCCCCCCCCCCCCCCCCCCCCCCCCCCCCCCCCCCCCCCCCCCCCCACACAAGCCTCTTCTTCGCTAGCCACTGGCCCACAGCGGCCCCCACCCCTATCCCCACAGCCAGGCCCACTCCCACCCCACCCCCACCCTTTGGATCTGGCCTGAGCCCGTCTACGGAGAGCTGCAGAGATGACCAATTTCCAACACATTCTTACCCCCAGACGCATTCGGGATAGTTCCTGAGATGATCTGGAGCAAACACGCTAAACAACGTCCACAGTGGAAGTGACTGAGCACCTGTCCCCGCGCATGCGTGTAGCAGCCTGTGAGTCCCCATGGCGCCGATGGTAGGTTCTTTGGCTATTGTCTGACGAGTTCGGAACTATACAACTAGTAAGAGGCAGAAATAAAATTTGTTTTCAAGGAACCTTCACCAGCGGCGGTCTCCTATGGCCTCCTGGAGGTGAATGGTAACTGTACCGAGAGGCTGAAGAAAAAGCTCCTATTAGGGTTCGGGAGAGGAAGGCTTCCATTCATAAGTGGAGCCACCAGAAGAGGGCCTGGGGATGGTGCCTTCCTACCTGCATCACAGAGACGAGACTTGCAAGCATATCTCCTTCACCCCCGGTTCAGCGCACGTCTCCTGAAGTTCCACTGTCCCCCTCTGGCCCCTCGGCTTTCTATCTGTAAGACCCAAAGACAAGAGCAGTGATGCTTTCGAGAGAACCACCAAACACGGTATCTGTAGTCTTTCACAGAGGCCCTCTCCCACGGGTTGTCAAGGAGGGATTCCCAGGTGTGTTCGCGTTCTCCGGCACCAGAACCAACAGCACAATCGAACCTACACGGGAGGAAATTGAGTAGAACTGGCTTACAGCTGTGCAGACTGAGAAGTCTTAGAACAGGCCGTCTGCAAGCTGGAGACCCAAGGACATTGGAGCTTGGCTCAGTCCAACTCTGAATGCTCCGGTATCAGGAAAGCCTGCTGTAACTCTCAGCCCAAGGCAACAGGCCTGAGAGCCTGGGCTTGGCTGAGGGGCGTGGTGCAAGTCCTGGAGTTCAGAGGTCAGAGAGCCTGGAGTTGTCAAGTCCGAGGGCAGAAGAAGGAAGTGCATGTGTCGCCCCAGAGACAATGGAAACACATGTAAGTATTTGTCCTGTTCTCTCCAGCCCCTGGGTGACTGGATGGTTCCTGCCCACATTCAGCTCTTTCCCACCCAATCCACCCAAACTCCAATCTCCTCTGTGAACACCTTCCCAGACACACTCAAAAACAATGTTTAGTGGGTTTCTAGATATTCCTTAAGTCAGTCCAACTGTAATATAACGTTAGCCACACATGAGAGGAAGAGGCATTTCTACCAAACCTTCAGGGTGTCGGATGCTCCGTGGAGACAAGTGGAGTCAGCTTTCTAGGTTAGAGTGGGTGACACAAAACCCCTGCTGTGTCCCACCAGGATGTCTTCTTTTTTCTTCAGAGATAGGGGTCTCTTTATGTAGTCCTGCCTGTCCCAGAACTCACTATGTAGACCAGGCTAGCCTTGAACTCACAGAGATTCTCCTCCCTGATCGGGATTAAAGGCTGGTACCACCACGCCAGGCAAGGCCATTCTTGACCCTTCTTTTCCTGCTGCTTCTGAGCAACGAGGCACCGGACTCGAGTCTGCAGGGCACGGCAGGAACTGAGTAACATCCTCTCCTCGCCACTGATCCCACTGTGCTGACGTCATGGCTTTCCCTACTTCCTTCTGGCCCCACCTAAGATCAAGTAAGTTTCTCCAGTAGGAGACGTCTCTGGAGTCCTGAGGTGCTCAGAGCTGGCCCTCTACTTCCTGCTAGCAGAGGCTGCTAGCAGTGCTACCAAGGGGCAGCGTTCTCTCGGCTGCAGTACCCATGGAATTGGCTCCGCCTCATTCCGGCTGCTCAGCATCTCCACCTACCCCAGCAGGCCCATGTCAGGGCAGATGAGCAGCATGAGAACACAGGGAAGGCCCCCCAGCCCTGGATGCTCCAGAATCCTCCTCACTCTTTCCTCTGCCGCTTATTAAGGACAGGGAGAAAGACGCCAGAGAGCCAGGCTTCCGGCAGCAGAGCAGAGTGTCCTACCCGCCTCTTCTTTGGGGCTCACTGGTTCACAGAACAGACTCCTTGTTCTCTTAATAGGGAGACAAGCAAAAGATGGAAATAGGTGGAAGTTTTACCCGTAAGGGAACAGCGACTTCACTCTGTAGCCCAGGTTGTCTGGAGCTCATCATGTAACCTAGACTGACCTTTAACTAATAACAACCCTCCTGTCTCAGACTTCCAAGTGCTGGGATTATAGATGCAATCTTTGCCCAGTTTAGCCCCGCCTCTTAAGGGGTCTGCCACCTTCCCAGGGAGTCACACCTTTAGCACACGAGCCTTTGGTGGATATTCTACACATGCGGGTGAACTGGAGACACTGCTGCTGTCTTTCTGACTGCTTTGGATCTCTGTGGAAAGTGAAAGGGCATTTCAATCTAATAGCCACAAGGTCCGTTTTGTAGCATGTCCTTCACGGTTAGACCAATAGGGCTTGATATCCGTTGTATCACTTAAACTTTGTGGTGATTTTGAAGGCAGCTGTCTTTTTTTTTTTTTCCTTTTTATACTGGAATAAAGTGATGCTCAGAGGTGTGAAGCAGCTTGCCTAAGGTCATGGCTGGGATTAGAGAGAGCAAGGATGCACTCATCACCCTGAATCCGTATTTTTCTCCATGCAGTGTGGCATAGTCCTTCCTAGCTTCATTCCTTGCAATGCAGCCTACGTCTACACAGCATGCTGGCACTTTCTCACCTTGGTACGTATGGACCCTCAACTTGGGTACCCAGCGGCCTTTGGGGGAGTGTCTGGTCACAGGAAGTAGGTGAGAGCCTGCTTCTACCCCTTCCTTGCCACTGGTCCCAGTACGATTTATTCTTACTGCACACAACTGCCATAAGTGTCTCTGCATCCTCCAGTTGGACTTCAGCACCTGCCTTGGGAAGCTGTCAGGTTGGCTGGAGGCTGACTGAGCTGGGGAAGTTCAGAACCACACCAGCACCGGTATCTGCCTAAGTCCATTCTGCACCTATGGTGTGTGTGTTCAGCCTCTATGTAAAGCCGACCAGACAGTGCCCCGTTACAGGTTTGAATGTGAAATGTCTTCCACACATTCATGCATTTGAACACTTGGATCCCAACCACTGGTACTCTTTTGGGGTGTTGTGGAACCTTAGGGAGGTAGAGCACAGTTAGAGGCAGGGAATCCTGTGAGGGGCAGGCCTTAAAATATATGTCCCACCTCTACTTTCTGACCCGCCTGTTTCACTGAGCTGAGAGGCAGTAAGCAGTCTCAGCCACATGCTCCTACTGCCGGGGTGATGCCTGGGGGCCACAGCCATGAGCTCCCCCCTCAGCCATACCTTCCCCACCATGATAGGCTGTACCCTCACAATCAGCCAAGACAGTTTTCCCTTGAGTTTCTTCTGGTCACATATTTGGTCACAGCAAGGACAGAAGAGGATTAACATAAATGCTCTATGGGGGGTGGGGACAATGAGGAAGAAAGCCTTTGGACAAACTGCAGCCTTCCCATCCTTAGGCAGGTAATTCGAGGCTATGTTCTACGGGGTCTCTCAGAGGGACCACGGACAATTGAAGCCAAGTGTCCCTTGGTGGCCACTAGTTCCTAGGCCACCTTTATCGTCCCTCCTCTACCCCATTTCTCACGTGGTGTCTGTTACCGTCTCGTTCTCCAGAACCATCTTCCTCAAGAAATCCAGCCCTATTTGTGATCAAATCTGTGTCTTGGGATCTGCTTTGGGGGACGATTGTATGAACACATGTAGACAGCAGTGTGTTCATGTCTGTCTCCCAGGCCAAGCGAACACCCTTGAATTTATTCTCTTGAGGGCCTTGGGCAAAAGAAATTTATGCTTTCAAAACAAAATGAGTAGCAGAATTGGGCCTAATCCCCAGGTCTGCTGGCTTCCGGCCAGGGCTGTTAAATCCATGCAGCTATTTCAACTTTCAGATGTGAGATCTGTGGACTTTTTCAAATTTCATTTCTCTTTCAAGTGACAAGGAATACGTATCTTGTAAAAGTAGGAAAGGACAAAAGATCTGTTTTTGTAATCATTCCCACCACTGAAGGAACACTTACATGGCTATTGTTTTAAAGGTGTTTCATTCTTTTAAACAAGGCAGAGGGCTGGCGGTGTGGCTCAGTGGTAGGGTGCTTACCTATCAGTAGCCCTAGGTTCTGTTTCTAGCACACACAGGAATATTGTTTCAGAGATTTAAAAGGCAGGAGAGCTCCCTTTGACCCCCTGAGAAGGCCCCAGCTCTGTGTCTTGCTTTTATCTCTCTATACTCCGTGTCAGCCTACACAGGGCTCTCTCGGGGTGCAGCAGGCCACAGGCAGCTACCGGAGGTGGACCTAGCATCCTTTCACTGGAGAAGGATGCTGACATTCTTGGTCCAGAGGGACTCAGTGGGGTTGGCAGGTGCCATCCTTTGCTGCATGTCATCACAAACAGCTACAAGTTGGCTGAACGTTACCCCAGTACATTAAAGTTTGTGGCTTGTTCTGACAGATATCTACAAAGTGTATACTCAAGGCCAAGCTTGCAGCTTTTATCTTGATGAGCTGGAGAGCAGAGGTAATGATTCATCACACGCGGGTCTGTAGGCTTCTCCCGCGGAGCCGCCATCTGTCCAGAACGCGAGGGAATAAGTGCTGTCAGGTTAATTGCCTTGGATCCGCCAAACCATCTGCATCCATTTACATCAAGTCCTAACCACTTTGGAGGGCCTGATGGAGGCCGGCTCTGAGCTCACCTCTCTGGCACATTCATGGAAGCCTGAGCCGCCAGCTCTGGCACTCACAAAACAGGCCAATGAAGTTGACAACCAGACAACTTTGGAGCCAGGCGTCTCTAGTGAGGATTCCAGCCTCATCCTTGACAAGCTGAGAGATCTTGGATGGCTGGTCGGATCTTCTCTAGAAATTGTCTTACCTTCAAGGGCCTTGCCTGTGACAAAGGGACACAGGAAAATTCCAAAGGTGGGGGGACCTCACCTCCCTCCTGCTTTCCAGACACTTACCATCTAGCCAGGGAAAGAAGATTCTTTTGCTTTGCAAAACAAAAACATCTCTATGACATAAATACTTCAAAATTCAAAAAGAAGCAGGAATGGAAGTAGACCCAACCACATACCAGTGTCTGCCACACAGTAGGTTATTGGAGTTTCTTTTAATGTTTTACTATCCAGTAAGCTAAGCTCAGGAGTCAAATATTAGGGAATAAACCTGATTGATTCACAGAGTGATGAAGCAAAGGTCACTTCACCCTCTTCTCCACCTCTCTGCTCAAAAAAACTGCACATCTTTTCAGTCCCTTTTTATCTGTGTCCTTCTAAGTCCTCTGAGTCCTCCAGAAAACTCTATGGTTCACTCCATGGGCAGTCTGGGAGTGAAAACACAAACGGATGTTTCAAAACATTTCCCACTTTTTGTCTAAATAAAAAGGAAAAGTTTTAACTCTAACATAGAAAAACTTATATAATAAGAATAAAAAAGGTATTAGCTCTAGCAAAATAAAATTATATACAGTAAGAACAATTATTAAGTAAGAAATACATTCACAATGTCCAGTCCATTAGTATTTGGCAAGTTCGGAGAAAATACTCCACTATGCATCCTATCTTGGTGAGTCTGAAGTTTTGTACCTAATTTACTTTCTGTCATTACTAAGGAAAACTGTAACCATACCTATCTAATCTTCAACTCCATCAGAGACCCAAAAAGGAAATAATATTACCCAAGTAAACAGGAAGTACAGAGCAAGCAACTTCCAAACTAGAGACATCCGGCTGCCTGGACAATCACTCCAAGGTTCCTCTGCAATATTGGGGCATCCATCTTTGGCCTACAGTCGTCGACTATCTGGCAGACTTTTCTATGATGCAGGAATTTGAAGGACTGTCCTACCTTGTCTTGGCAAAGTTCAGCAGTCACTTTCTTTTGTGTCCTGCTTGTCCAATTTGGGTAGCAGACTGTCAGCAGTTGAGGCAAGAACAGTTTCTTTTCCAAGTATCTAGCTTTGCCACATTGAAAGCAAACTCCATATGGAGGTTCTTTGATGCCCATCATCCTTTTTTGAAGTAAATTGGTGCTGCCAGAAGCAGATGTGTCTCATTGTCAGGAAAAGGCTTAGGTTATTATAACATTTTAAATGCCATATTCTGAAGGTCTCTGAAGTGTTTGAAGACCATCTATCTATTTAAAATACATTTCTGTTTGACTTTGAATACATATCTAACATGATTATAAGTTTGATTGTTATAGATGACTAACTACCAACCTGTCTTTCTTTATTATCCTAAATAGCTTTCAAGGACTAAAACTTTACATTATATGTTTAAATGAGATGCATAGGTACAATACCTTAAACAAGAACAGGAACATATATACAGTATAACAAAAATAACCTTAAATTTGTATTACTATACAAAAATCCATACCAGTGTAAAATATTTGAGATTAGTTTGAAAGTAGATTCAATAATCTACCCTTTTATTCTATCATTTCTATATCCCCCTATTTCTTTTCAAAATAAGATCCTAAAATCTAATCTCCTTTGCTTAGTTTCCTCCCTGACCACAACAACTTGTAACCAACCCCTCCAAATGATGATAAACATCCATAATCTACCAAACAACCATAAACTACCCACCCCACCTTTTTTGAGTTTGGGTGTCATGTTCTTAAAATTACTTCCTGTTGTCTGAGGGCAACAGCATCTTTAGGGGACCCTGAGAAAATTGAGATAATGGTCAAGTCCTGAGACAGCTAGCTGTTGTCCAGTCTTGGTGTGATGGGAAAGTACAGGGCTTGTCTGACATCCTGGCTGGGGTAGTCTATGAGGCTGGATCATCTTAATTAACTGCCTTGAAATTGTCCTGAGTAGTTTGTAGTTCAAAGTTGGTCATTGGGTGGTGATTGTCAGCTTTAGTGATGTTACTACAATCCAGTGGAATTATCATTGTGGGGCTCCATCATCCTTTCGGAGACTTCAAAGATCACTGTTAGGAATGGTTACAGTTCACTGCAGAAAACTTAAACATTTTAAATATCATATACAGCAGATCTTAAAGAGATTAAAGAACCACAATCTATTAAATACATTTGGGGTACACAAGCTTAGCTCCTAGTTACCTGATTCAGACTCAAGCCTGAAATCACATACAAGAACTAGATGAAACCTATTTCTAGAATTAGTTAGTACTCTATATGACCATTAATATCACAACAGAAAGTTTAAATATATATATATATATATATGTATATTTAAAAATCTTATAAATTTTTAGATAATAATTGAGATTAGTGGCAATAGAATAGTCTCTTAATTTTGGTTTTTCTTCTGTCCCATACTAGGTGGCTCTTCTGACATGAGACAGAATTTTTGATTTTCCTTTAACAAGCATGCTTGAGTTTAGAGAAGGAGAGAGCCATACTCCAACTCCAAAACCAGCTTTAATTTTTAATTGAATTGGGACTACAAAAGGACCATTTGCCTTATATGGCTATAGAGAACAGCAGAAACACACATCTAAGAGATTTATGAGATTTTTATCCTATTGGAAGTGTGCTATACCATTAGACCAGTTTTCTCTTTTTCTCAGGACATTTTCTCTGGATGATTCTCCCTTTTCAGACGTCTCATTTGTCCAGTAGTATTCAGATTCCTTAGTTTGATGCTTTTATTTTCCTGGAAAGACAAAAACAAAACCCTGTCCCAATCTTAGCTTTGGGGAGTTTCCCTTTTGGGCAGGTTATATATGATCAAATGAGAAGTGTTTGCTAGCCTTATAAGTTAGTTTGGATTGAATGACCAAGCTGTTTGATGAACTATTGCCTCTCCTAATCAAGAGGTCTCTCCAGTTTGAATCTAATCTTTATCAATCTTGATGGTATCCATTGCTTTTCTTCTCCTGTGAAACAAAAGCAAAACCTCTTCCCCAAAGTAACACATATCCTGGTTTCCATTCTGAGTTCAACACATCTGAAGTATAGAGCAGTTTTTTCTACTATCCAATGTCTCTCTATAGCTGTCATTCCTTTCTCAATAGCATTCAAAAAATTTAAAATTAATAGAGCATTGTATAATCTATCTCTGGGAGCCTTTATTGTCCCTTTCTGATTACTAAGCATATCTTTTAAAGTATGATTAGGTCTTTTTATACCTTTTTGTCCTGTAGTATTTGTGGTATACCTGTAATATGCTTTATGTTATAACATGCAAAAAACCATTTACTTTTATTAGAGACATATGCTGGATCATTGTCAGTCTTAATTTGTACAGGTATACCCATGATGGCCATAACTTCTAACAAATGTGTAATTACAGAATCAGCCTTTTCAGAACTGAAAGTAGTTGCCTATTGAAATCCTGAATATCTATAGTATGGTGCACATACTTTAATTTTACAAACTTTGCAAAAATGAAACATCCATTTACCAAATTTCATTTCTTTGAGTACCTTTTGGGTTACTTCCTGCAGATAGTGGAGTTTAGTTATACAAAGAACAAATAAGACAGTTCCTTATAATTTTGTTGGCTTATTGCCAAGTGATAAAATTTTTTCTTTAAACTTTTTCTATTAATATGGTGTTTCTTATGAAATTTTGAGACTTCTAGAACATTTCCTACCAATAGCTGATTGGTTTCATTATTATCATGTGCTAGGGAGCCTGGTAGACCTGTATGGGAACTGATAACATGTTACATAAAAAAGATGATTTCTATTTCTGATTATTTCTTGTAATTGAATAAATAGCAAAGTTATTTCTGAATCATATGTAAAACAACTCTTTCTGCATATTGAGTCAGTAACTATATTAAGAGGTTCAGGAAAATCTAATAATACCATGAGAATAGCATATAATTCTGACTTTTGAACAGAATCATAAGGGCTTTGAGCCACTTTACTTAAATTTCTTGACTTATAACTTGCCTTTCCTGATTTATTTGCATCAGTATAGAATGTAGGGCCTCCAGAAATTGGTGTTCTCTGTACAATATGAGGAAGAACTCAGTTACTTCTTTTTATAAACTGAAGTCTCTTGTTTTGGGGTATTTTTTCTCATCTCTACCAAAAAAATTAGTGCAAGTTCTTTGCCATTGTTCTTTTTCTGTCCATCGTGAAGAAATGTCAGCATTAGTAAAAGGTACCACAATTTCTGCTGAGTCTATTCCTGCTAATTGATGGAGTCTCAATTTTCCTTTCAAGATCAATTCTGAAACCTTTTCTTCTTCTTCTTCTTCTTCTTCTTCTTCTTCTTCT